GTTGCCCTCTTTTTTCAGTTCCAAAAAGAACTGTTGAAAAACAAGACGGGTATCTTTCCCACGTTTCTTGAGCGTACAGCTGTAGGAAGTATTGTAGAGGTGAGAGTTTGCTGATTCCATTACTTGTAGTCACCCCTATCGTTCCAAGTTATCCACGAATTGGAATTCCCGTCATTTTTCACTGATTTTCAGCTACGATACGGTGTTCTGTTCGAGAAGCAAATCGTTTTCACCCAAAAGTTGCTAATGGTGGAAAACGCTGGTGTAATCGAACAGATTCTTTTTGTAGCACCGCACGAGGAGTGGACGTTCTACACAGATCTTGGAGAGAAGAGGGTGAATTATTTGAAGACTGTATACGGTTTTCCGCATAGGACCTTACGATACTTGCATATCATATAGGTCATCCTCATTTTCAGGTAGATCTGGCCAAGTCTTCACAGTACATTGTTTACCAGAAGTTGACCACCCAAGCAAATATTCATCTTATGCAAACAATCAATACGCAAGAAATACGTTGGTATGTTTGATCACTACTAGGTAGAGTATAGGTTTTGTTTACCAGCTACTGGTCTACAAATTGTTTTTGTAGGACTCCGCAAACATTGCACCAGTTGAGCAGTGCATTCGGCAAGTTGCAGCAAGTATTTGATACGACTTGCAGGAATTGCAAGTAAGCTTCGTGTACTGTAATTCTTTTGGCCTACCATGGAAATGTTGTCAAAAAGTAAGGATGGGCCTCGAATTTATCATGAAAACATTTCAGAAAAGTGATGAAGGACTTCCTGCCACCCCTCATATTCGATTTCCGTAATTTGAAAAATGCCCTGCACGAGACGTGTCGTTAAAATGACCTCCGGTGCTGACATTGCCTCTACCACATGTTGCCCCGTTGATCATTGATTTCCTCGAAGGGTGCTGGTAACGTCCTAATTTGTCCCTATCTCGAGCCACTGCAGCCACACTGGGCTTTCCCCGCTCAAGGGACATGATGCGTATCGTTTCCTTTGTTTTGGTGTTTTAATAACTCTTATGATTAATTTATTTTGAAAGTTTTTTTTTGTTATATTTTCACTGTAAGATCTAATAGCTTAGCGTTGTGTTATCACCCGCTTTAATTCTTTCTTTTGGGACTGTTTTATGCAAACATCCATGACGTTGGTTCGGTTATGGATCGATGCTCTGCACGGGTGTGGATTAATGATAATTGTAATTTCTTTGTTTTACCTGTAATTTATAAATGCCCATTTGAAAAGCACGATTTTATTCGTGTTATCCTAGTATGTACATAAAGCATGTGGTAAAATTCACTCAATTTCTGTTACGAGTGGATGAATTGTGCGTTTTATCATCATCTTTTTGCTGCCAACCGCACTTTGTTGCTGTTATGATGTTTACTAAAAAATAAAGTTTCGATTCAGTGGTGTTTTTACTCATATATAGCGGTAGCTATGGCGAGATGTTCTTATTAGTCAATAGAGTAATCTCTATTAACTCTATTAAGTCGAAATCTCAACTCCAGAAGAACGAAGGTGTTATAGTGACAAATGGGGCACCACCCACACGAGTGGTTTGGGGATCGAATTCCGGATGGTTACTTGCCTGGGACAACCACGCCTTCTATCCCTCCGGAATGCTGTGATTGGCTCCAGACTTTTCGGGGACAACGGCTGACCATCCCAAGTTATTGTATGGACCGCATACCCATTCAAACGCTGCTGTGATTCTGAAACGAAGTCGAGAGCAGGGGCGCATTCTAAGGACAGGATATATTCATACTAGAGAGTTTATCCATCATGGTTCACGTATCAGTTTTGTTTGGCTTCAGCTCAATCTTGCATAAATTTCCAATAATTTTTTATATGTCTCTTTGAAATATTATTTTAGCTCTCTTATTTGGACACGCCGATTTTGAGCTGTAGGTTGAATATTGGCCCTTTTTTGTAGTACTACACGCTTACGGAGGGCTACGCTTATCAACTCCGCTAAGTGGGTGCGCTTCATAGGTGACGTTTTTGTAGTACCATGAAACCTCTGGGCAAAGTTGTAAGAAATTCAGTGGTTGGTAACTAAATAAAGGTCATCCGTGTACCCACAGGCTGCCTTTACTAAAAACCCCTCAAGCGGTAGCATGGGGAAGTGGCCGCTCCAAAAATGAAAAAGCATAGTCATCCGGCTGTGGGTCCCAGTCCAAATGCGATACGTCTCATGTGTTACGGGGTTGGGATCTATGTATTGAGATATGTATGTATCTCAACCTCAAATTACCATAAACCCCCATACTTTCAGTGTCTTAATGAAAACTGTGTTACATTTCTTCATTCTTTTCCCTATTTTCTGCTTGATGTTCATATTCTCAATGGGTGCTGCCCAAATTGACCTTTCTTAATATTCTGGTTTTCAGATCTGAAGGGGAATGGGCAGCGGCAGCGCGCAAGCATCAAGCCAGTATGAGGGAGTACTGCAACGTAGTAATAACTGTAAGTTAACTCTATTTGATGTTTTACCAGGAAATCCACCGTCCCTATTCCGAATATTAAAGGCTTGGTACTTCTTCGTCAGCTTCGAAATCGTGTAACGCGTCTGCATAACCTTTTGTTTCACTCGCAACCACCGAGCAGGGAAACTTGGCATGCATACTTTCGCCAGGTTGACCGAGTGGACAAGGATCTCCGTGATTGCTTTGAGTAAGTATTTTCTTTATATTTGCTATGCCAATTTGGAAAAGCCCCATTTTTTTCATCAAATGTAACTTTATGTTGTTCACGCACTTTTCGTACTTGCTCTGTTTACTATGTTCCCTTCTTACCGTTGAAAAGTAATGGCTATTACGAAATAACCTTTTAATCATATTTATAGTCGTTATACTTTTTTGATCATTTTCCTTTGCAAAGGCTTGGCAACTGTCTCTGGGGTACCGTCATTTCAGAATAAGACTTGAAAGTAACATATTGTCTGCTTTACAGGCAACCTATTCATTCTCTCATTTTTCTTACAAAGCTGATAATTTGTATGATTGCATAACTTAATTATAGTAATAATATAATTATGTATAATTTGTCCGCATAAGTATCCCAATAATGAAATAAGTTTGACGTTCATTTTATTGTAATTTCAGCAATCTGGAAAGCCATGCAAAAGGACTGCCGAATCAACTACCTCAGATCGAGCCTTTGAACCACCTACGCGCTGTGTTCCAGGTACAATCTCTTCCATTGAGAATCTTCGCATTAAATTTCCAGTGATGGAGAGATTTCAGGAGGAACAGCTTGATGTGCAAGTCGTAGAAACCGTCGAATCCATGATTATGACTGCATAAGTTATCAATAACAATATATAATTCTTCTGCATAAGTATCCCAAAAAAAAGTTTGACGTCCATTCTGCTTTGATTTCAGCAATTTGGAGAGCCATGCAAAAGGACTGCCGAATCAACTACCTCAGATCGAGCCTTTGAACCGCCTACGCGCTGTGTTCCAAGTACCGTATACTTCAGTCAGAATTTTCATCCTAGACTTTCTTGTGACTAAAAGAAGTTTCAGGAGGAACAGCTTGATGTGCAAGTCGTGGAAACCGTCGAATCCATGATTGATTGTGAGAACTGGAATGAAGGAAACTTTGTCGGTTTTTCGAGTAATCCCGTTGATTCAGGTTTTGCTATTTCAGTAAACTGTTTCAGCAAACCTACATGTATTTGGGTGAGTTTCTTCGACTTCAACGCCGTCGCCCTTCATGCATAGTCCCACGGCCATTGTCATGCTCTCATTGGGCTACTGGGATGTCACCTCATGCTCAATTCGAAACAGCCTTTGCACAGGTATGTTGTTTGCTGTTTGTATGTTGTCCTCTTTTTGCTTTCTTTTCTTTCTTCTTTTTTCTTTTGTTTGTAATGTTGCCCTCTTTTTTCAGTTCCAAAAAGAACTGTTGAAAAACAAGACGGGTATCTTTCCCACGTTTCTTGAGCGTACAGCTGTAGGAAGTATTGTAGAGGTGAGAGTTTGCTGATTCCATTACTTGTAGTCACCCCTATCGTTCCAAGTTATCCACGAATTGGAATTCCCGTCATTTTTCACTGATTTTCAGCTACGATACGGTGTTCTGTTCGAGAAGCAAATCGTTTTCACCCAAAAGTTGCTAATGGTGGAAAACGCCGGTGTAATCGAACAGATTCTTTTTGTAGCACCACACGAGGAGTGGACGTTCTACACAGATCTTGGAGAGAAAAGGGTGAATTATTTGAAGAGCGATTACGGTTTTCCGCATAGGACCTCACGCTACCAACATAAAATTATAGACCATTGTTACCTCCAGGTAGACCTCGCCAAGTCTTCACAGTACATTGTTTACCAGAAGTTGACTACCCAAGCAAATATTCATCTCATGCAAACGATCAATACGCAAGAAATACGTTGGTATGTTTGATCTAGTAGTAGTGTATGGGTTTTTACCAGTTACTGGTCCACAAGTTGTCTCTGTAGGACTCCACAGACATTGCACCAATTGAGCAGTGCATTCGGCAAGCTACAGCAAGTATTTGATACAACTTGCAGGAATTGCAAGTAAGCTTCATGTACAGTATTTATTTTGACCTGCCATGGAAATTTTGTTAAAAAATGTAATAAAGGACCTAAAACTTTCAATGACAGCGTTTTCAGGAAAGTGATGAAGGACTTCCTCCCACCACTCATCTTCGATTTCCGTAATTTGAAAAACGCTCTACACGAGACGTGTCGTTGAAATGACCTCCGGTGGTCACATCGCCTCTACCATGACCATGTCCCGATGATCATTGATTTCCTCGAGGGGCGCTGGTAACGTCCTAATTTGTCCCTATTTCGAGCCACTGCAGCCAGTGGGCTTTCTCTGCTCGAGTGACGTGATGCGTATCATTTCCTTTGTTTTGGTGTTTTAATAACTCTTATGATTAATTTATCTTGAAAGTTTTTTTTGTTTTATTTTTCATTTTAATCTATCCTATAGTTTTGCGTTGTGTTATCACCCGCTTTAAATCTTTTTTTGGGACTGTTTTATGCAAACGACCATGGCGTATTTCCGGTCATGGATCGATGCTCTGCACGGGTGTATGGATTAATGATAATTGTAATTTGTTGGTTTTACCTGTAAGTTATAAATGCCCATGTTAAAAAGCACGATTTTATTCGTGTTATCCTAGTATGTACATAAAGCATGTGGTAAAATTCACTCGATTTCTGTTACGAGTGAATGAATTGTGCGTTTTATCACCTTTTTGCTGCCGATCGCATTTTGTTGCTGTTATCATTTTAACTAAAAAATAAATTTTTGATTCAGTGGTGTTTTACCCATATATAGTGGTAGCTACGGCGAGATGTTCTTATTAGTCAATAGAGTAATCTGGATTAAGTCAAGAACTCAACTCCAGGAGGACGAAGGTTTTGTAGTGACAAATGGAGCACCACCCACACGGGGGTTTGGGGTTTGAATCCCGAATGGGTATTCACATAGGACAACCAAGACTTCTATCCCTTCTATCTTTATGGAGTGGAGTGTTCAGTACTTTACATGTCGGGAGGATAAATTCATTGGCTTGCAAATCGGATGACCATCCAAAGTCATTGTATAGACCGCATACCCATTGAATGCCGCTATGATTCCGAATGGAATTCGAGTGCTGTGGCGCTTTCTGAAGACAGGTAGATCATTTCGGCTTCAGCTCCATCTAACAATATTTCCCAAAAATTTTTCATATTTTTTTAATTTTTTTTCATATTTTTTATTTTATTTTAGTTCTCTTATTTTGATTTTCCGACTTCAAATTGTAGATAATGAGATAATTGTCCATTGATATAATGACAATTTTGCCATTTATTTAGTTCCAGAATTTTACTCCATACATGTGCAAAGTCTCCTAACAACTGATACTTTCTAGATCACTGGTAACAAGCAAAGGAAGACATCTTTATTGATTCGGACAATCTGTTCAGTATAAGTTTCAAGTTAATTTCATTATGAGTTTGAAGTATAGGATCAGCCCAGCTTCATCATTTAATCACCCATAATCATTAAGCCCAATTTCAAGGAATGGAACAGCTCGTTNATCTGTTCAGTATAAGTTTCAAGTTAATTTCATTATGAGTTTGAAGTATAGGATCAGCCCAGCTTCATCATTTGATCACCCATAATCATTAAGCCCAATTTCAAGGAATGGAACAGCTCGTTACAACATTGTGAGAACACTATTTTGTACTGTAACTAAAAGTCTAATTCAGAAGTAAAGTAAGTGAAATATGGATAGATGGAAAGGAATAAGTGAGAATAATGAGTGCTCCTATTAAAGGGCCGACAGGAAAGTAAGTGAAGTATGACTAGAAAAGGAATGAAAGAGATCAAGCATTAACGTGTACACCGGTTGTTGATCGAACGGATCCAGCTCGTGATTTCAGAAGCGGTGTGCGTTCCGAGATCGATTGACGTGTGTTCGCCTGAAATGTCTTTGTTTTTAAGGAATTATTTATTTACTTATTTATTTGTTTGTTTGAGGAGGTCAAACAAACATCGAATAGTCGGCTTTTATGTGGAAGTTTCGAACGAATACGCGTCAGAGTGCGCCGTGCTTTTCGCCCACACTCCCATTAATCAGGGTGTCTGCATGCAAAAAAAGAGGTACTTTCTGGTCAGTTTTTATATCTTCCCAAATATTTCCGGCTCCGAACCATAGCAGGAGGGATAGATCTTATTCAAAGAGCTGAAAAGTGGAGCCGACCAGAATCACCAACCATTTCAGTTGGTGAGCCTTGCGCCACATTTTTTCTGCCGGTACAAGTTCAACAAACCGTTGAGCATGTATGAAGTCTAGTTGATGCAGACAGAACTAAGAAGAAGTGAAGAGTAGCACTCACCCGTGAACGAACTTCTTCTTCAAAGTTGTGTACAATTTCATAAACGGGAAGTTGCTTTGTTTCGGGTAGATTCCTGAAAATATACTTGAGAGCGTTCCTCATACTATCAGGTATTTCTCGATAGGTATNCAGAACTAAGAAGAAGTGAAGAGTAGCACTCACCCGTGAACGAACTTCCTCTTCAAAGTTGTGTACAATTTCATAAACGGGAAGTTGCTTTGTTTCGGGTAGATTCCTGAAAATATAGTTTCGAGAGCGCTCCTCATGCTATCAGGCATTTCTCGATAGGTATTAGGCCTATACATCGAGCCGCACGGATGTTTTCTTGCATAGGAAAAACTAGTGCTGTAGGGTAGGTACATATAAGGGTCACTGTAGTTGAAGTTGAGCGTTTATAGTTCTTACAATAATTTAATTCTAGGAGTCAAAAGGTGAAAGGATATTCGATAGAACCCAGAGTGGGGCTTATACCCCGCTCAATCGATTTTTCGAGAGTTTGGCGAGTATCATGACAGCGGCGGGTGTTCCTCGAAGCGCGATAATTGGTCCTTGCCTTTGGCCAATCAGAGATGAATGCCGTTTTTGTAAGCCGAGGATGAGTGGTTGTTAGCTTAGCAATCCTTCGATTGATTTTAGTGTTTTATTATTCGGATAAAGTTTACTAGGTCTGCTTTTGATGCACTTAATTATAGGCATTTCTTCACAAAAAAAAANAAAAAAAAACACAACCCCAAATTTCGTGTAAATGTCTCTAAAAACACTCGTGGAAAAAAGCACATGCCCTGCCTTTCAGCCTTACCTGATAAGATAACCGATCAGGAACGGTTGACAAATAAGCATGGGAATGTAGATAGCTGGCGCAAAAAGCGCATTCATCACCGGGAATGACGTCATTATCGGTATTGTGGACGCCAGTGGAACAAATAATAGCACCTGAGCAGGAATTTCATGAAACCCCGCAAAACACCTGCTCGCTTCGTAGAAAACTTGCCTGGGAGACTGCAACACGAGCAGCTGGTGGTATAAGTTCAGCAATTAGCAATGAAGCCACGGCTCCTGCTCCTGTGCAGGTGATCAAATCCGAAGCGAATTCGTTGGCTGTTGCTGGAAACTCATAATTACACATTACTGTAAACGTACCCCAAGAGGAATATAGGGTCAAGGTGTTGATATTGGGGCGTGAGTACTTCTCCCCGAAAATCGCGTCGCGCACGCCGCACGAGATCGCGCGATACGCTATGAAGGGGAGGTTTGAAGTCCTAGTGGAAAGTTTCGATAGTCGCCGAACATCCACTGCTCTTGCCGTTGGAATTCGGGGAGAAGTACTGACACGGTGATATTTGCCAGGCGGAACGGAGTCACCGATTGCGGGGACCGGTCAGAACTCAGGGACTTTCGTTTTCGCACCAAGAATCGAACCTTTCGCACTTACCCATAACCATAGTGACCCATGACGGGGATGTAACGTAGACTAACAGCTGAGCGGTGAACATTACGAGGATTTTGAGGAACCTGAAAAGCAAAGACTCTTTAACAGTGTCAGTGTAATGCTGTATTACTTGTTATAAAACTGTCCTGAAAAACTTACATGATACTGGACGCAATGAATACGACCGGCCTACGTCCGAATTTGTCAATTGCAAAAGTACTGAGAAAAGTTAGTGGGGTCATCAGTAAAGTACTCATCCAGCTTAGCATTAGCGACTGAAATACGAAAACGTTTGATAAACATTTTCTTTTTTTGATTATTTCAATAATTCAACATGAAAAGAAGCCATCAATTGGGATGTTTAGGTGCGTCGCGGTTACGCGGGACATGTGGCTTGTCATGAGAAACAATCGATACTGCCGGAGCACTAGCGGCACCAAATGTCCGCGTTGTAAGCAACCGCACAGAGCATTGGTGGGATCGAAGTAAGTTGGTAATAATCAAATGGGTTTCAGCTCCTCGGCTACTTTCTGGTTCAACTCCAGTTAAACTCCCTACATGAAATGAATAGTAAGTCATTTACTTCATAACACACATACGCCGGCCATGCGTGCCTAGGACGTTTATGCTTGTCGGATTGCCTAAAATCACCTACAGAGTAGATACCACGCTCACACCGCAAAATACCAAGCAATTCTGTGCATAGAACGGTTTGAATGGAGCTTTCTTTTGGAAAATTCAAGCTCGTGACTTGTTGATCTCAGTATTGCCAAATTCAGAGCAGGATAGTTCGTGCTCCGGACGTACATCAAGCGCAGACTCTGTTTATGAATAGTGAAAGTGAGCAATCACCCTACCTGTTCGACTGAGAATCCTACAGATGTATGAATTACTACAGAGTATGCTCTCTCCAGCGGCACCGGAGAAATGGTGAACATCAATTGAAGTATCATAATAACTTTCATAGCCTGAAATCTGTAGACGAAGCACATTAATCAATACATCTCATTATATTTTCACTAAATGTTAAACTACTTTGTTATGTTATCTGTGAGAATCGATTGAATCGTACTAGTTCGGGTCCCGACACCGCTAAAATAAGCTTGACAACGAACGGATGCTTCAGAATTCAAACTCTCGAAAGCACTGTCCTCCTTATCAACATTTTCGCAATTCTGTTGCTCCTCTAGACAGAAATTTTTCGAAGAGCGCTACTTTTTTTTTAAAAAAACATGCTCTCGGTTTCGCATTGCACGCACCGCAGCCGCACGCGGCTGAGCTCGGTTTACACCAGATATCGGCTCCCAAGAAAAATTCACCGCAGCGGAAGATGCAACCACAAAAGCTTCCCCGTTTACCATATAACTGTATAGGTCCGTGATTTATTTAGTCGTACCTCTTTAATTGTCTCATCGTGCCATGCTTCCCTGATAGATAGATTTTTATTAGTTGTCAGATGTGTTTCAAGACATAACGAAGTCATCGCCTTGTCTGTGAAAATGTGCCGATATTGATTGAATCAACCAAATGAAGAGCGGTTTCACCTGGATTTTCTCCTTCTCCATGATAGAAACGCATGGCTTCTGCGGCACCAGCCTTATCACCATGTCGAACCAGCCACTTTGGAGAGTCAGGAATGCTCACGGTAAACAGATACATCAGGATACACCTAAAAATTGATTAATAAGTACATTACAGGAATAGGAAGTTTCAAAAGGCTGGTAATGAAATGCCTACATAATGGAAGCGATCCCTGGAACTATTGGCCAAGCCGAATTCGATCCAAGAACAGATGGCAGGCACATCCAGTACCTTGAAACTAGTTTTTCACAAAATAATCAGATCCGCATATTTGCAAGCGTGCTATAGTTGTATAAACTTGTGTTTCGGTAGTCCTGACATCTATAGGTTGGGTTTTCGCCGAGTATAGGTTAACTGATAATCCACATCATGCAAATTTGCGGGGACTACATTTTGGAAAATGAGAAACAGATAGGGAGGAAGGGAGTTAGGTTCAATTTTCGACGCTTTGTATTGCATAATGCTCGTCGAAATTAATTTCTCCCTGTTATTGACTCCACTTCAATTTCTCAAAGGTCCAAGTAAGACGATGCGATTCCAATTCGCGGGTGGACTAACGCCGCGACGCAACCGCGTGCGGAATTGTTGCCTTAGTGTTCACTCGAAAGCAGTCTTTCAAAGAATAGTATGATATGAAGACTAACATGAGTAAGCTGGCCAACATATCTCCCAAGTGAAGCGCGACGGATGCGAATCCTGAAAAGTTTAGAAATTAAAAATTCACTGCTACTTAGGACAAATGAATGAACTGTCAGTGGTTCGGCCAAAGTCCTTACAACAAGTTGGTTTGGTAGAGGAGAAACGAGCAGTTTAATCGATTCGTGTAATCGATTCGCCGCGCGCGGCAGTCCCGGACCATTCGCGTCGTTATTACAGTTCTAGCGTTCTTCATATAGTTCACTCGATATGCGATTATTTATGGCATGACTCAAATGTGAGTTCTTTGTTCCTGTATTTCTTACTTACTGCTCCACTCAGCTATATTCCATCGCGCGCGGCGTCCAAGTCGCCGCGAAGCGACGATTTCGATTCAGCTGCACTACACCCCTATTGGTAATTAGAGACGTTCTCTCCATAGAATTTTTGCGCGTTTCAGTACTCGAAATGATGTTGATAATGATGTTTCTGACTAGTTTAGAAGTAGAAGGAAACAGAAAATCGTAAAGTCATGGCCTGCTGGATAGTGGCTTTGTTGGTTTTTACTCGTACCTGAAGGAACCCCTCTGCGAGGACGTTATCGCCGTTATTATTTTTACATTTGTTATGGTTATTACATTTATTTTATTATCGTGATTCGCCTACAGTATCCATTGAATCACTTGATCGATTTCTTCAGGATGCCAAATTACAGCAGTAATCAGGCGAGGGTAGCTGTAATAAATAGTGAAAAAATGCTGTGATATGGCGAACATGCGGTAAATAATTAATTTTTTCCCTCTTAACTGGCAATATAATGAATCTGTTCAGCAGATGTGAGCAAACCCCTTCCACAGATGTGCAGTTTAACAAAAAAGTGGTAAAGATGAAAAATTGATCTCGCAATTCATCTGGGGACCCACTTGATCTCAGCCTTACAATAACTAGTAACATATTTTTCGAAGCGTTTTTTCGGTTAGAGGCAAAGTTGAATATTTTATTTATATGCCCTGTAAACATTTTTCTGATCAATTTTGTCCACTCTATTTTTTCTACCTTGTTTTATTTTTGTATTTATTTTAAATATTTTATCTCAGGTATCATGTAAAAATAAGTCAGAATTTTCATCTTATATTTGATTGTTTTTTTTCCCACCGACATATTATTACCATTCATTTTATTATTATAAGAATTTAAAGGCAAACCTCTGTGTTCATCTGGAGCGCATTCTGTCACAAAAAGTGTGACCACGACGAGCTTGATCGGGATCGATAAGCCAAGGAGCAGTTGTCCTACGACGAACAGCTCAGCACTCCCCAACCATCCACCGAAGCCTTGAAAGGCACATGATGTGATCCCGAGAAGAAACCTGGGAAACGATAATAGCTATTGAGGTCCTGAAACGAATAGAAGCTACCTTAGCTGAACAGCGACGAATTTCCTTCCACGACTATCCATTAATGGCAAAATCCATACCACACTTGACAGGATCCCAATCGCCGTACTCACAGATACCAAAGTGGGTATCGATGACAGCCTGAACAGTATTGATCGAAAACCCCATAGGGAGGAGGAATCTGTGAAGGATCTTTTATTTGTGACAGGCAACCCTACCAACGTAATCCAGTAGCCTACTCAGTTCCTCTCATTGTCATGGGATAATAGCAGTGGTNGGTTCCCTGAACGCCCACTTCAGCTCTGACCCTTCACGACGCTCAACATACAGATCGGATCTGGGCCAGAGCCGTTCTTCGGAGGCCCGGCCACCTACCAGGCGATGCTTTCGTCTATCTACACATTTTTTAAAGAAATATTCGAGCTCTGTAATGTTTGTGTGGTTATCCTGCTGGCCTAGGTTTGGCTCACGGACCGCTTCGTGGCAGTAGAGCCCTCTACCGCTCTGACCTTATGTATATTGAAAGAATGAAGAAAATTGAAAGAAATTTACTTACGCGGTAACATCAAGTTCTATGCCGTAATGCCGAATGAAGGTTTGATTGTAGAGGTTTGCTAGAGGTCCAGGAAGTGCTGAGAATAGTGCCAATTGTAGATCAGTGAATGCTCCGAAAATCATGAAGGCAAACAGTGCTCTCGCAAATTGCAGGGTAATCATCCTGAATGTAAACAATTTAGGTTGTATTCCACAGTGGAGCTGTATTCCACATTTTATCGCTCATAGGAGTAACGGTTAACTGCTGCGCGCAGTTGCGAAGCGGTTGGCGCGAGATGAAGGCTATCGATCGATGTGTGACGCTCGGTAATCTCGCCACAAATGATGGGTAGGGAACAAGAGTATATTGAAGCTATTCATTCAGGGCACAATTTAGAGAATACGAGAAAAAAAATCAAACTGGAAATAGCGGAAGGGAATAAATTAGATCAGTGAACAAGAAATTAGCTCCACTGATGATTGCTTCCAGGGAGCATAGATGCTTCTTCACGCTTTTGTACAAATGCCTATTTAATAGGATTCTGATAAAGGTTACAGTATAAAAAAGATAAATGAACGAAATTGAGCATCTTGAAATGAACCAGTCCACTTAAGAAAAACAAAGCACTCAAACGGAAGAAACTAAAGAGGAAATAATCCGATCAGTAATAAGTTCGTGGGCACCTATTTGATGTTTGGTCAACTACGGCCACAAATCATAACCAGTCCTGCTATGCTCCAATGGCGCCATCAAGGACTTATTTTTCTCGACTGGACAAAGTAGGGCGTTGACTGGGAGACCTTAATCTGCCAAATTCCTTAAGTCTCGAGTGTTGTTCTGCCGAATTCCTTAAGTCTCGAGTGTAGTACTTGGCCAGGACTAGCCATACTGAAAGGTAGGAACTGTATACACAAAAACGGTCTATAGTTCAGTCCTTATCTCAAAGAAGTTGCATCTGTTGGGAAATGAGTCTTGCTGTATCAGGCACAATGCCCAGTTTCAGCAGAAAATAGAATTCTAGTAAACTAGAGGGGTTATTATAAATAGCTGTACACCTCTGATGGTGATTGAAAAAGATGTCCACCAAAAGACCCACTCAACTTGTCATTTCATTAAAACAGTACCTAAATTCATTTTACGTGAAGTAATGGTGACAAAACAAAGTAGTTTTGTTTTAAATTGCAAACACCGCCTACTCTGGATAAGAAAATGGCTTGAGAGAGGGCCTCATCGTTTCAGACATTTAGGTGCAGCCTGCTTGGCCCATCTATAGCTCGTGGGGCACGTTCCGATTTCTACTCCATGCTGACTATTTTGCCTTTTTTTGCCTACCGGGTAGTAGGGTTTACAGCATTAAGACAATGACAGCTTAAACCTTGATTCTGTTTTTCAGAAATTAGCCGGAAAAAAGTAGAGATGTGTAGGATGGAGTCAGTAGTTTTAGCTACTACAAACCGAGTGAAGTAGGTGTCTCACCCAAGCATCTTGTACACACTTGTGAGCTGTGCAAGCCTCTTGAAATGGCTGCAGCTACTACTTTGATGAGAGTAAGACATTAGGGAAACAGTTAATGAGAGCATGACTCATGAGGGAGAGAAGGAAGCGATAAGGAGGCAAACTGGAGGATTGAACCATGCCCAATGGGCTTCGAAGCTGAATTGTGTGAATTCGAAATGAAGTTTTAAGCGTAGTTCAGCGAGTGTTACTCGTAATATGTAGCTGTTGACGCTTGTCCTTATTATCCCCGACCACTGAAAACAGTCCAGTAAAAAATGTCTGAAAAAGTCAAACATCTGAGAATTTTGGGTCATAAGAACTAACGAAATAATCACTGAACCCTTATCTTTTTTGCTGATACGGCGGATGTTCTAGGAAGTGTTTACGCTATTCGCATTTGCAAACATCATCTTGCTTGTGAGACAATGCAATATTCCTTGAATTCAGATTTACAGTTCAGGATTGAAAACTTTCCTAACTTGTAAACTCACAGAGAGATCGCTCCAAAGGGTAAGATGGTAAATATCTTCGTTATATCGTTCGAATGTGTATGCGCCCTAGACAATAATCAGCGGATCTGCGAGTCACTGCTTTTATCCTCTCAGACTACTCTAATAGGTGGGCCTCGAAAAGCCAAAAGACAGTAATGGCCTGGGCGAGTATCGATCTGGCACTTGACCCTATACCGTGAGTGTGCGATAGTGCATCACTGGCCACTACACCATATTCCTCCTTTTTTCGACTATATTAAAAAATGTGAGTAATCCTACCTAACCTTAATACCAAATTTTGTTTGACTTTGCAATTATCGGCTTCAATTCATCGATGTGAATCTTATCAATTGACTCAAGGATTCTCGGCTCCAATCGTAATGAACTTTGACATGAAAAACTAAATATCTGTGAACAAAACAAAATTTTTCTGTCTGAATCGAGAAGAACGGGTGTGGTGCGATTCACGCGCCAATATAATGAGGTCATCGAACAAAACACGCTAAAACATCATGCCTACCATCATAATGGAGGAAATAAGAACTTATAGGTAGAATAAGTGAAAAAATGACCAACTATGCACGTTTACAGAAGGATTGCATTCTCAAGGATCAAAAAATTTGAGGTTTTTCTTATTTTGAACGTTTGACAAGCAAATTGACGAACTATGGTGTGAGTTCCTAATCTCGAAGGGGCTTTATGGCCATAGTGAAGATATTTCTCTAATTCATGGTGAAGCCGTGGACTACTGCAAATTTATTTGGTCCACCTCAACAGAAAGGTACTGAAGCAATGCTGCGTGCGCGAAGAGCTCTAATGGGGTCACGCGTGAATCGCGCGCCCCCCGAGAAGAACCATGAATCCCTGATTATCGTTTTGGGTGTCCCTGCTCATCTCGTAGATTCATAAAGAGCTCCAAAGAAGCCCATACAAGCTCCCATCAGCCCGTTCCAAAGCTACCACATGCTGCTACCAGGTAATACTAATAATTTTAGAAACATTTCAATTACTCCTTGTCGGGACCATCGCAAACAACCGGTTATTTTAAGCTCGAGAGGCGACTTCAGGGGAAAAAGTTCGACCACCTAGCCGCGGGGCCACCCTGGTGTTCGTTTGACGTCATGAGGGATCTAGCCAGTAGCCGCCTTGGCCAACGGTCATCCCAAAATCGCATGACGTGTTGGCCCCGATCTTCGATTCGTTATCATTACTGCAGCCCCTTTGGCCTTCGAGCAATCCACCGGACACCATGTTCCGATGTTTAGTAATTTTATTTATTATTACTATATATGGTTGATCGTAACTAGAGCGCATACTTACATGCTTTGTACTTTTATACATCACCTTCCTATTATAATATCTTAGTTAACAGGAATGAAGGCTTCGTTATGTAGTTCTCGTTGGGAGCGGTCCTCGGGCCATGCTAGGTGATATTCAAAATAGTAGTTGACTCATCGTCGCGAAAAACCGAAGTTTTTATGAAATGACTTTTGCCCAGAGGGATGTCGCCCATCACGTTTTCGGTTAACAAACCGTGGAATGAAGATCTATTTGGGACCTTTCCAAGTTGATTTCGGCTTTGTTCCGTCTTTTGGGAGCCACATTAAAGCGCAATTGCTGAAAGGTAGCTGCAGATATTAGAGCGTTAAGAAAAATGGGTGAATGGTGGAGGGCTAGTTTTCCTGAACTGCATGCCATATGACAAAACGGCAAGTTAGGCCAACCACACAGGACATAATGAACTTTGAGAGACGATGTATCTGTAGCCGTCTGGGTGTCTCCCGCATTAGCGCACTATTCGTTCGTTCTAACGCTTCATCGTGAATGGTGCAGCCTTAGCAAGGCCGTCACAACACGTCCACTTTTGGGCGTGTACGTCGGCTGAGCCGGTTTTTGAGTACTTGTAACGGCCTGTCGAGGTCGTTTTCCGCTCTTATAAGGCCCTCGTGCTATGCTTGTAGGTAACAGGCTCATCTCGAAGGGAACCCTCAGAAACCATTTTTGTCGTGAACGGTGCGTTTGAGCTGAGTAAGTGTAATCATGATGATCACACTTCAAGGGATGTTTACCGATTGTCCAATCCCGCTGATCCCACTGTGAACAACGATCGATGTGTGTTTTGTTAGTGTGACGTTTCGAATTTCACGACAGCCGGAGACGTTGTAAACTTGTTCCGAGGGCCGTATAGCTGATGTGATCAGATCAGAAGTCGTCAAGACCTTGGAGTGGCCCTCCCACTCTTTTCCCATATTTTTCCCATATTTTTTGTCTTCAATATGTAACCTACCTACTCAGTAGCCCTGAACAACTTACTATTTGACAGTATAGGGCATTACCTATCTTGTTGTAACGAAGATCTTCGCCTTCGATGCATGCTTTAACGAGTTCAGAAGGTTTTTCGGATCCCCGTCGTTAGGGTCCACGAATTTTGATTTTTTTTCGCTCTCTTTGTTCCGCCTCACGACTATCTTGAAGCATCTACCGTAGTTGGACGTGCTCCTGGACAGATTAGACGGCTACCGTAATCGCGTCAGCATAGGATGGGCTAAACGCCAAACTTGGGCTGGAATGAAGACAGATTTCCGCTGCTTCACAAGAGCTCTTTTGCAATCAGTCCAGCGATAAAAAGACTTTTTCGGATAATTCCCCATCTGGGGCCAATAAATGGCTCCTTAAAACCCCATCCGGGCCGATAAATCGGCTTCTTAAAAGTTGGCAGATTGAGCGAACACATGTTAGGCTTCATGAAGAATTGTCTGCCTGCATTAATTGAGCACCCTCAGGGCTCTGCTACGAATTGCTCGATTTTAGCACGTGTGGCCCTCCAAGTGTGAAGTCGTTTATCACGAAATATTACACCAAGAAGTGTCTGAGGCAATTATAGGGTGACTGCTGGAAAAAAAGTGGTCCTGAACAGATTTCTTGGCATTTTCTCAAGGTTTTCTCTGGCATTAGACATTTGAAAATTTATGGATTGCGTCGTTTATGAATCATTTACCTTTTGTTCAAATGGTCGAAGATAGGGCCAATAGCTGTAGGCCTCTCTTCCGGCATAGGCCCTTCCCAGGGCTTCCTTTCCGCTCCCGAGGCACCTTTTTTTGGTAAACGGTCCATAGTCCATGAAATATTTCCCATTCATTCTACAGTCCTTTCCGCTCCCGAGGCACCTTTTTTTGGTAAACGGTCCATAGTCC